GCCCCCGGCCGGACCCCTCCGCCGCCGCTCGGCGCGGCCTAGCTGGGCCCGATTTAGCCGGATCCCCAGCTCGGCCGGGCCCGGACCCCGGGGGCACCGCGCCGTGCCCGCCGCCCGCCTCTACCGAGCGGTGCCCGCACCCGACCTTTGTTTCTGGCGCCTTCCCACCCTGCCCGGCGCGCCCGCTCGGGTCTCCCCTCTGCGTCCACGCCTGCTGTCCCTGCCGCCCACCCTCACTCCACCTCTGCCCCAACCCTGCTCTCCACCGATCGGTCGCGGCCTCCTTCCGGCGTGCCAGGAGCTGTGTTAACCGTTTCGCCCCATTTCTGTGCCCCTTCCCAACGCTAGCACCCACATTTCGACTTTGGGGGACGAGCCTTCGCTTTCGCCCTCGGATTACTTTGGGCATCTGAATACCGGGTTGTGTATTTTTGAACTCGATGGAAAAGCCTTTCCAGGACAGTTCTATTTTCATAACCCCCTCTCATTGAATCACAGTCTCTAAATCTTTCCAAGTAACATGACAGTCAGAAGGTCTCAAGAGTTATGATTAAAAATGGAGATGAAAAGGGAACTTTTCCATTAGGACTGAGGAGGGAGCTTTGTCTTCTTACCTAGGGAAGTGTAAACTACTGGGTTGGGGGAACCATCAGTTAGCGTAATGGCTATGTCGCTGGATTCCCACGTAGTTGACCGCGGTTCACATCCCGGACCGGTGGCTTAAAACTCACGCCGGGTGCGTGGGCGTGCGTGCCCAAGATCCCGAGAGGAGAATGGAGGAGAAGGGATTGCGGCGTGACCATACCCCCTGAGGGGTGATTTCTCGCTTTCTATCTCTGTGTCTCTGTCTGTCTGGCGAGCGCACGCGCCCTATAGTGAAAATCTCTCCAAAAAAAAAAAAAAAAACTACTGGGTTGGGAGTGCGTGTTTGCATGTGTTCCTGCCCACAGCACCTGGATTGTTCTGGGAGGGAGCGAATGTTGGTGTGTAAATGTACCCACATAAGCTCTCAGTGACCCAGCCAGTTAAAAGAAGTGGGTTTGCAGGCCAGCCCATAGCGTGGTAGTTAAGGCGGCCTGTTCTCACATGGCCAATTACACAGCTCTAGTCCTGAACCCAGCGACTTGGAAAACACACAGGGTGCATGTACCTGTGTGCCCAAAATCCCAGAAGGAAGGAGAGATGGAGCAAAGGGGATTGTGGCTTGACCATGACCCAAAGGGGGCGGGGTGCTTTCTCACTTTCTCTCCTTCCGCCTATCCCTCCAGCTCATATGCCCTATAGCAAATAAAAAAGAAAGAAGCGGTAGGTTTATAAATGGTAAGAGGAAAAAGAAACTGATAAGCATCAACTGAGGTGGTACCATGAACCATGAATTTTTCCAAAATGTTATCAGTTGCAGGTGGTTTTCTCCCCTCCCCCACCATCTGAAGGAAGCACTGCCAGGGTCCACACTGGTCCTGACCTGACTACATACTACCTGCAAAAATTATATTCCCAAAGGTAGATGCTGCTTCTGTGGTGCTAGACCAGGGCTTGCCAAGCACTTAAAAAATGTTTTCTTAATATATATAGTATTTATTTTTAAACACTTAAATGTATTATATTACGTACCTCATAAACATGCCCTAGAAAAGAAAGATTAAGAGGTTGAAATAAAGATGAAGTATAATATCATACTTCTTAATGAAAGTTAAGACTGTCATAACTGGAAAAAAATAGTTGTCAAAGACAAATTCAAAGGGAAGAAGTGCATCCTTGATTTGCATTTATTAAATCATGATACTCATTTTCCAGTCCCATTCACCAACTATGCAAAGGCTTTCAGTTGAAATTTAACTAGTAAATTTGCATCTTCAGTCAATCAGTCCTTTTTGAGTGACTAGAAGGTGTCACGTTTTTATATTTTTAGCAAATGGGTCCAAGCTCACTAAGGAGATTCATTTAGACATAAAAACCATGTTTAATGGGACCAGCAGGGGGCATGGTGGTTAAGGCACTGGACTTCTGTGTGGCCAACTATGGTTCTGGTTTGAGACGAGGCGGCTTGAAAATCACACAAGTGCACATGCATGGGTGCCCACAATTCCAGGAGGAGAATGGAGTTGAAGGGCCTGATGGTGTGACCATCACCCCAGTGGGTGATTTCTCATTTTCCCTCTCACTATCTCTGTCTTTTTCTGATGAGTGCGTGTACCCCACGGAAAAACCTCTAAAAAAAAGTTTTAAGTTACTATTTCCTAGTTTTTCAAATATGCACACAATGTTTTTTATACACAAATACATTGTTTTTGGTGATTAAAAAAAAAAACCATGATTTTGTCACTTCCCTGTCATTTATTTTTTTTTTTCTTTTTTTTGGGGAGAGGTTTTTGCTATAGGGCATGTGCACTCACCAGAAAGAGAGACAGAAAGCGAGAAATCATCCCCCCAGGGGGGATGGCCAGGCTGTAATCCCTTCTACTCTATTCTCCTCTTGGGATCTTGGGAATGCAAGCACAGGCACCTGGATCTGGCAGCTTGCTTTTTCACTTTTTCTCTCTCTGTGTCTCTCTGTCTCTCTCTGGCGAGCATGTGTGCCCTGTAGCAAGTTGAAAAATAATAATGATAAATAATTCTTTTTAAATTTTATTCTATTTACTTATTACTATTTTTTAGATCTTACCAGAGAGAGAAAAACAGAAAGTGAGAAAGCAAAGCCTCCAGGTCCAGGACTTGAATCATGGTTGGCCATGTGGGAGTCCAGCACTACATGATACCTGCCGGCCCGTAAATAAATAATTCTTTAAAAAATATATTTATTTATTTAATTCCATTCATTATTATTATTATTATTTTTAATTTGACCAGAGAGAGAGAAGGAAAGGGAAAGCAAGAAAGCAAGCCACCAGGTCTGGCACTTGAACTGAGAGTAGCCATATGTGAATCCAGCTCCTTTAACCACCACACCACCTGCCATCCCAATAAATGTTTCTTTAATAAAAAAAAAAGTGGCTTTCTCATTCGTTTATATGTACATATTTAACGGTTTTTTTTTTTTTTTGGAGAGGTTTTTGCTATAGGGCGCGTGCGCTCGCCAGACAGACAGAGAGAGACAGAGAGATAGAAAACAGGAAATCACCCCCCAGGGGGGATGGCCATGCCACAATCCCTTCTCCTCCATTCTCCTCTCGGGATCTTGGGCACGCACGCACACGCGCCCGGCGTGAGTTTAAGCCACCGGGTCCGGGACTCGAACCGCGGTCGACTACGTGAGAGTCCAGCGACATAGCCATTATGCTAACAGCTGGTCCCCATATTTAACGTTTTAAAAAATGTATTCCTTCTTGGGCCAGCAGGTGGTGTGGTGGTTGGGGGTGCTGGACTTCCACGTCGCCAACTATGATTTGAGTCCCAGACCTGGCAGCTTGCTTTCTCACGTTCCCTCTCTCTCTGGTGACTGCACATGCCCTGTAGCAAATTGAAGAATAATGATAATGATAAATAAATAATTAATTAAAAAATAAAAAGTTATTTCTTCCATAAGCGAGAGAGAGAGAGAGAGAGCGCACACCTCAAAAGGGTCATGATGAAGCTATCCGGCCCTTCATGTGCTCGGTGCACACAGGGAGGTCGGTAGAAGTGAACCCAGAACCCTCCCATGGGGATTGACCTCATTGAGTGTCATATTTTATTGTTGTGGCATTGTCTGGCCTCCCACACATTTACAGACTGTCATCTTCGACTTGAGGGGACAGATGAAGAGGGGGGTTTTATAGTTGTTTGCTTTTGGAAATAAGTTCTTTTCATTGTAGGCCTTTCCCTGAAGGATGACAAACTGCAGAGCAAAGGTTTTCATGGCCATCCTCCCCAGAAAGAATTAGAAAGTTTGTAGCAATGAACAGACTTGTCTTTGTCCTGTGGGTGGCATACATTATGAAGAAAATGAATGTCAACTCTGCTGTTACCTGTTTCCTGCAAAATCTTCACATGATTTCTGACATAGTGACTGAGTGCGAGTACTAGGTCACTGGTATTAATAAAGCTGAAATACTTACATTTGCTATAATTAAATAGTAGTAATATTATTGACTGACTGCAGAATGCAGTGGTTAAGTACTGTGCATAGGGGGCTTGATCCCATATTGCAGGATTTGTTTGGAATCCCAGCCTCGGTGGCTTGAAAAACACACTGGGCACATGTGTGTGCATGCCCCAAATCCAGGAGAAATGGTGAAAGAAAGGGCATGATTGTGGCATGATCACACCCTACCAGGGGTACTTTCTCTCTCTCTCTCTCTCTCTCTCTCTCTGACAAGTGTGCATGCTCTCTGGCAAGAAATTTTTTTAGTTAAAAAAAAGGAAGTTAAGGGGCCAACAGATGGTATGATTCCCATATGGCCAGCTGTGGTTTTTTGAGTCCTGGACTCAGTAGCTTGAAAATTATGCCAGGTACAGGTACGTATGTGCCCAAAATCCCCACAGGAGAATGGAGATGGGATTATAGTGTGGCCATTTCCCCTGAGGGGGCAATTTCTCACTTTTTCTCTCTCTGTCTCTGGCAAGTGCATGCC